GAGATGTCAATATAAATATTTTGGACGATGGTCCCATCACAAATGAATACTTGAATATCCTATCAAGTAACGGATTTCTGTCCTATATAAACCTACCTACAAGGTCCATCAGTGGCACATGTATAGATCACTGCTTTGTGAAAGACCTATCCAACAAAATTACTTGTATACCAATAATCCTAGAAAGCGATATTACTGACCACTTCTCCACTATTTTACTGATATCTTCAAATGAAAAACATTCTAACATCCCTACCGTTAGTAACAACCAGGAAAATTACAAATTTTTTGTCGACAATTCAAAACTAATATCAAATGTCAAACAAGAATCCTGGGAACAATTATACTCTATAAATAATATAGACAAAGCAACGGGAATGTTCATAGAGAAAATAAAAAAACTAATAGATATTAGTACCAATAAAGTAAGGTAAAGCTTGTAAGGCAAACCAAACGAAAACATTACCTAAATAAATTGAATAATAACTTAAATGATCCTAAGCGGCTTTGAACAACTATTGATGAGATTACTGGGAAAACCAAAGTTAAAGAGTGTGTCACTGAGTTAAATACAACATCGGGAACAGTGATGAATTTGTACAATTCTTTACCGACAGGCGAAAATTTAGCAAGTAATATACAAGCAAATGTACAAAATACTCAGCCTCCAAAAAGAACTTTGAACTCATTTGTTTTGGATAAAGTCGAGCAATGTGAAGTATACACCACTGTTATGTCCTTAAAAAATCGGAAAAGTCCTGGGTTCGATGGTATTAAAAGCGAGCATTTGAAAATTATAGCCGAGGACATAACAGAACCACTCACTTACCTAATCAACAAATGCTTTGAATCTGGCATATATCCCTCAATTTTAAAAAAAAGGTAATATAATACCGATACATAAATCAGGAACAAAAACAATGTTAACAACTATAGACCAATATCAATAATATCCAGTGTAGCAAAGGTTTTTGAAAAAGTTTTATCTACTAGAATGATTCGATACCTCACAAAATTCAAAATTTTAAGTGAAAATCAATATGGATTTACAGAAGGGAAGGCTACATCGGACGCAATAACTAAAATTGTAAATCAAATACATCAAAATATTGATAACCGAATCCCTTCAATCTGCATTTTTGTTGATTTAAAGAAAGCTTTCGACACAGTTAATCACAAATTATTATTAGAAGCATTGGAGAGAATTGGTTTCAGAGGAAACGCGTACTCACTGATCGAAAGTTATTTGTCAAATCGCCCACAATCTGTGCAGATATCCGGATCATTTAGTAAAGAAATGTATATTAAGTGAGGTGTCCCACAAGGAACTGTCTTAGGTCCGCTGTTATTCAATATATATTTAAATGATATTTTCCAAATTAATTGTGTTGGCAAAATAACTAGTTTTGCAGATGATACTGCAATATTATATGAAGGCACTGACTGGTCTGATCTGAAAAATGTAATTGAAAATGATTTTATCAAAATTATTCGGTGGTTTAACAGTAGAAAATTAAGCATTAACTACTCTAAAACACATATTTTACCATTTGGATCTTATGCTAGACATCTGCTAAATTACACAAATTTCTCCTTCAATATTAATGATCAAAAAATGCAAATTAATAGAGTGCCCAACATAAAATACCTTGGAGTGGTCTTGGATCCTCACTTACGATGGGACATCCATGTCAATTATATTTTAAAGAAAGTTAGATTTGTATCCTACATAATTAAATACCTTGGGAATATATTGACAGAAAAATATCTTCGAACATTATACCATGCACTGATTGAGCCTCATCTCACATATGGTATATTAGCATGGGGAGCTGCATGTTCCTCACATATCTATAATTTAGATGTTTTTCAAAAAAGTATTCTAAAAATGATATTTAAAAAACCGAAACTTTATCCCACTGAAAAATTATACGCATAAATCTATAATGCAGCGATCATATCTCTATTTAGCGCCTAAATTTTATGAAATTATACCTAAAGACTTAAAAGATTTACATTTCGGAAATTGTTTCAAAAGAAATTTAAAAAAGTGGCTACATTCTATATCTAGGACTGAAATTCATAAACTCATAAATACGAACATCAACTAAATACATAATCTACTGTAGCTAATTTTTGTCCTTTTTTGTCATTTGCATTCTACAGTTTCAACTTAAACTTATTGGTTCATGTACAGGCGATGCCTTCTATTGGCCCTGTTTTGATTTTATATTTATTTACTCATATTTTTTGTTATCTTTGTACATTGAGTGAATAAATATTATTATTATTATTATTATTATTAATTATATACTACTGACAGCCATGACAGGCCGCTCATTTTTTTTAATTTGGATGTGAATGAAGCTAACCCCAAAATTTCAAAACCTTATTTGAATATTTGTTAGAAAGAAGTTTAGCTTAGATTTATGGCAAAATCGAACAATAAATAGTTTATCGAACGATAGAACCACATATCGACAAGTGACGAAACCAGCAACACTACAACAATTAAGGGCTACATTGCCACATTGCGTATGTAATAAGTATATCACAAAAATCGGGAAAATTCAGTTCATTTAGAACACCACCTATTTCTAGCCCTTATTTTTGTCTTTTATCTAAAACGGATATTTCTATAATGTTTACAACTTGAAACTATTTTTATTAATCTTTTCCAGCTTTACGAACTCGGGCACTAGTGCTGGATAAGAATAAAATAACCGAGATAAGCCCTTTCTTATTCTGGGAGGACCCTTAACATGTATTTGCGTCTGCGCTCTTCTATGATGTTATTTATTTTTGTCTTTTTTGTCACAGTCCATGTTCGCTCTTATGTGTCAAATTGTCAAATTATCCTATTACAATTTTTTTGAAAAAATTCAGTTCTACTTTCTACTGGATTTTTGGCACTTTACTATCTAGATGGGTCTGAAATCGAATCTTTTATTTTATTTATGTGACACATGTTTAAAGTAGATATAATAATGAAACACGCCTACTTGTGAGCTCTAATCAAACTAACATGATGTTCTACGTGTATTCTGAGCTGCAAATAGATGTAATGAAAATGAAACGACCCAAACGTAATATAATTTCTCATCTGAAAAGTGTGTTGCAAGGTCTAATCGCGTGCGCTTTTCTTAATAACCAATAGCTTGGAGAATACTGCTGCTTAAATAATCATACTAAGACAAGCAGGTACTGAGAGGTTGCGAGAACCCCGGGCAAAAGTAACACGAAAATGTTTGTACAGCAGCATCTTGATCCTCAAAACTCCAGTCAAGCATTAAGTTTTTATTCTCTTTTGTAAAAAATGTAGGATGTCATTTCACATCATTTTTGTTTTATAAGATGCAGATGACTACTTTTTGTTTTTTTTCTATCTGGAGATGTATAATATTGGGCGGGCTGATATAAAATTAGAGTGACCATCATTATGTTTTATCCGGTATACCTGATTTCACAGACCCATTCAATCCTTGTCTGAAGGTAACGGGAACTAGCCGTAAATAAACACAGGCAAATTATCCACCAAGATTTCTACAAAAAAGATTCTATTTTATGGGATGCTTGAGTCCCCCATTTAGTATAAAGCCACTGTATATTATATATGTTGATTCTCCTTTACAAAAATACAGCGTTAAAATCCTGTTAACTACAAAAGCGGCGGTCAAAAGGAGCCCTCCACGCATGATAATCGGTATAAAGTTATATGGGACGCCGCAACATTACCATAAGAAAATAATAATGGATAAAAAAGAAAAAAGGCACTTCAAGGGGCCACTCCATAAATAATACACATTTCATTAAACGTGTCATCTCCACGAAAAAGCGGCTATTGTGCCACCGAATGGTCAGGTCCTTTTTTCACAAGAGGGAGCTGTCAAGGGATGGGATGGGATTTCGCAGGGTGTCAGGTCTGGAACACCTGTTGGCTCGACGTTGTGCAATTTGTGAGCACATTGTTCGACTTTCTCCCTTTAAGAGCTTCTTTGTGGACGATGATTTGTAGTGTACTATTGAATGACTCCCACCATATTAATAGTCTCTCAAAATATCATTTAATAGAATGGATATTTAATTCTCACAGGGTGAAGAATAGTAGAAGTGGAATTTGTTTATTAGGTTTGCGATATGTGGGCTTCTTGCGTCATGCTGTGATAGTTCTAGAAAGGCTTTCCGTTGTTTGTATTCAGCAATGTTGGTGGCCTTCGAAGATATTTAAGAAGAATAATAATAGGATTTATAATCAGCTATAAACACATAAGAAGCAGACATATAAAAGTACACTAATATATAGGAGAGAGCTGCAAAAGGAACATGTAAGTAGTCTATGACTGTTGAGAGTGATGAGAGTACTAGCCCTGGCACCATGAAACATCCAAAAATTAGCACGTAGTAATAATTATAAGCAGGAAATATATAATAAAAAGAAACTATGACAGAATAAGTAAAAATGCAAGCGAAAATGTAAAGTTATCTAACTGTTTTAAACTTGCAGTTTAAGCAGAAGATACAAGGTAGAAGAACGGTGAAGGATAGTTCGAGTAGAAGTGGAATTTGTTTATTGCGTTTGCGGTATGTGGGCTCCGTATGATATGCTGTAATCGTTGTAGAAAGGAATTATGTAGTTTGTTTTCAGCAATCTTGATGCCCTTCCTAGAGGTAAAAATAGGATAGGATTTATTTGTAGCTATAAAAACATAAAAAAGCATTCATAAAAAATATACTAATATTTCGAAAACAGATGCAAAAAGGACTATTAGGCAGTCTATGACTGATTAGAGTACTAAACTTGTCACCAGAAAATTGAAAAAATACACCATAATAATAATCATAGACAGATATATAGATTAACATCTAATATAGAGATGCTACGGTAGAAAAAATAAGGATACAAGGAAGAATCAAAAATTATCTATTTTAAAGTAGCAGTTGATGCAAAGGACACATGAATTCCGTAGGTGATCGACGGTCTCTGATTGTTAAACGCGGAGGTACCACCCGGCGGATCTCGTAGGCGGGGCCATAATGTGTGCATGTTGCATGCACACGTGTTCACTGGCTAGAGTCCGTGTCTCGTCCTCTCCTTTCCCCTGTATCCCATGGTACCCCATGGGTGTTTCCGCCTTAGGCCTTCGGGGTAATTGGAGTATCAAAAAAAAAAACATAAGAAACAGGTACAAGAAAAATGTATTCAGTCGGATGACTAGAAACGAGGAGCTGCCTAAGCTCAAATTGAGATATTGACACTGGAACGTTTATGAGATCTGTTGGTACTTGATTGTATAAGTGACAAGCAATATAAAAAACCCATCGAACATAGCTGGTCTATGTGAAGTCTATGAAATAAGACATTTGAATCCAACATCAACGTTATGGGCATCTCTGCCAAAAATACCTTTATGGTACAAGCTCCGTGTTTTTTTTTTCAATGATATGACGAAAGTGTCCACTTTAGTGGAGTTGATGGCTAGCATGAATACTCATGGAGTAGATTGGACACTTAATTCCCATAGGGTGAAGAATAATATGAGTAGAAGTAGAGCATATTGAACAGATTTACGCTATGTGGGCCCTTTCTGCCATGCTGTGGTAGTTCTAGAAAAGCATTATGTTAAACATTCAAAAGGTGATGTTTTGGACTATGCTAACTGTAAATCAATTTTGTTCTTTTATGATTTTCAAAACAAAGCTTCGTTTCGCCGATACAGCGCCAATAGAAGTTTCTAGAATAATAGTTTTGATCTATAATATTGATATGTGAAGCTTCTTAGTTTACAGAAACAGTTCAAACCGACTATCTCTAATTATACTGTAAGACTTCACTCTTCTCATTTTCTCTTTCAAGTACGACATAATTTTTTAGTTACAATCAGTTTTAAATGTTTCCATTGCAGTTTTGTGAGTTGATAACTATGTAAAACTGTAATGTGACCAAAATTTTTCAATCGTCTGCCCGATTATATAAAAGTAAACATCCTTCAAGAAAGAATTGAAAGGTTATCTGTTGGAGAACAGTTTTTACAGTCTGTCAGAGTTTTTGTAGTTTTTAACAGTAAACTTTATTAATTACCTTTATTTTTAGTCTTAGGATTTATTGTATTGACAATTCCTATACAGTATTGTCTGTCTGTGAGCAATACATCGAATTCAATTGAGTTGAATTGAATGACTATATCAGGGAAATAATCCAGAAGATTTAAACGCTAGAGACGAGGAGGCGATGACATGTGCTCCCCGATCTATACAAGCATTTCTATCAGAGTGTCCCAGACTGAGATATCAAGGGCATGTAGAACAATTAGGCCACAAGTTCCCATAGAAAAACATTTACAGGGTAGTCCCCCATCTTTGTCTCACCCAATCATGCTACATATGTTTGAAATTCGTCTTTACTGTACGTTTCCATCCCAACAGTAACCTTGTGCTACAGGGGTTTCCAAAATTGCTTGCAATCTATACATTGCTTTTCTTTAATGCCCCCCTCCCCTTTAATATTTTGAACGGATCCATTCAAAAAATTAAAACTTGAGGAAATGAAATTGATGCGTGAATACCATATTTAGAGTAAAATTGACAGATGAAAATGCCAAGATGGCCGCTGAGTGCCATCTTGGAAATAAATTATATGAAAACGGGGGTCTTGTGGCACATCATTTTGAAGCTCCTGACGAATACTTTATAACCCTAGAAAATAAAGTCAATACCTTTACCTACTACAAAATGGTGGTAGATTTAATGATTACCTGAATACATTGACATTTAACTTGATAATTCGAATACGTTGAGTTCAGTTTAGAAGATGTTGCAAATGGTTGCATTGAATTTCTTGACACAATAACAGCCGGTCGCGTCGAACATTTTCAAATTTAGTAACATAGATATTTCTACAAATATTTGTTTTTCTCAGCCGTATATCAGCAGGTTCAGTTTCGTACACCTTTTGCGTCAAATAGCCCCATAAAAAAAGTCTTAAGGTGTCAAATCTGGCGAGCGAGCTGGCCATTCCACAAGAACTCAACGGCCAATCCAACGACCGGGCACATTTTTATCTAAATAATTCCTAACTTGTTTAGAGTAGTGTGGTGGAATACAATATCAGTATCTAATTCATTAGGATTCGCTTCGACGATTTCGGTGATTAGAGGTATTTTCCAGCAGTTCCCCAAGTAAAGTTTGTTCGATGAATACAATATGATTTCCCAACATCCCAGCCCAAACGTTAATTTTTTGTGGATATTGAGTATGAGTTTCCCGGAAGACGTGAGGATTGGTCACTCCAATATGACAATTTTGTCTAAGCACATTACTGTTGAGAAAAAATGTACATTCATCACTAAAAGAAATATTTTGGATATAGGTAGGATGCCGTGCAATGGTGTCCGTAATAGTAATAATAATAATTAATGTCTTTTTTATTTGTAATATTATTACAGGAGGCGAGATTTAGACAATGTATCTATTCTACCATCTAAGACACAGTCTCGTAGAATTCTGTTCTTCGATCAGGGTCGTCTTCAGTTAGCTGATGTACCATTTGAATTTTGTATGGGTGATACTTATTCTTTTTCAAAAGTCTTCATACAGCAGAAGGACGAACCTCACAGACATTCGCGATCGAGGAAGTAGGCTGTTCGGAATTTACTATGATCTCACCAATTATTTGAACTTGCTTTTCTTCCGGGATGGTCGGATGACCTGGCGGCTTTTTGTTGTTTACATTTGTCAAAAAAATCACACCTCTGAATTTCCGCTCCATGTTTTGGAAACATTCTGTATAACCTGAAAAGTCTTCAATAATGTTTGGTTGGAACTACAAGTGTGTATTATACAGGTGTAGTCATTTGGATTTTTTGATGTGGGTATAACAAAGTCATGGAAAACTTTACAAACAAAATTCGGAAAAAAACTCGTTCATAATAAATATACTCAGTGCCAAAGAAAAAAGAACGTCCAGTAAACCACGATTTTATTTAAATTATTTATTTAATCAGCCAGGCATAAGCAAGAGGAATTTATAATTATATTTTGAAGGTGAAACAAGTATGGTATAGCAAGGCTTCGCTAGTAGTGTATTGTGCTAATCCTTATTCATTCGTCCAGTCGTCAGGTACCCTTCTTATATGGTTGATTTATGTATTCTTCCGGTATCTGATTGTAAGCTAGCTGTACTTGATTCTGAAGAACTACTAATTTTTGTGGAGGATGGGGTAAAGATGTCGCTCTTCTTCCCATCATAATCCACGCAGTTTTAATTGGCGAATGGTCTATAGATCTAGGAGGGAAAGGGAGGTGTGGCTGATCTGACCGTTATCGAAGTAGTCTAGTAAAATAGGATTCCCAAGCGTTTGGAGAAATATACCATGACTCCTGGGTGCAGGTGACGTTCAACTGAAGGTTTTGTATCATGTCTTTATACGAAACAGCTCCTGGCTTGTGCCCGTCCGCCATGCAACTCTAAAATAGAGTCCAGGAAAATTGGGGTGGCAAATGGTGTAATATTGTTTTTAGTGACGATCTCGGTTCTGTTCAGGAATGCAAGGTAGATGGAAATGAATCATTGTAAAATTGCCAGTTGCACCATAGTGCAACAGTCACTCCTAAATCTAACTACCTTTCGCATATGTAGGGTATAATGAGAGACAAGTAACTTCTTTACCTCATTCTCCTCAAGCGCTATCAGTTTTTCGGAACCAAGTACAAGTAGCTTGGGATGGGATGCCTCCATGGCTGAATGAATGTATACAGCACTGAGGTAGCCCAGCACATTATTGGGAAGTCCAGCTATGCATAAAACTTTCATTTTAAAATATCTTGCGAATATATAAGTATATACAAAATTTCATTTGAATAAAATCATTTTACTGTGTGTGGTATTTTCATTGTTACTCAGTATACAGTTTTCTCTGCCTATGCGTGAGAAGTAGAAACAGTGAAGGGGGAGTTAATAACAATATTTCAGGTTAACTACATCCAGTACACGAATTGTAATGGATAAATACTGCAAGGTGAAGGTAAAACAGTTAAGTTGCCTGATTCACATTGTAAAAACTATAGCCATAATACACGAAGTCTCACGAATTTATACCGCAAAATATTTATATTATTTTATCCGCTAAAATATATATCGTGTGTAAGGTTGGCAATAAAAAGAACCGGAGATATACCGGGAATAAAAATCGCAAGAATGCATTTACTCCACTGTGTTTAAACACGATATCTCCAATTCGCTCTACAGGACCGGAGCTATTTGTTGAGAGTTTAATTGTTCAATCGTTTCCCAACAAGTTGGAATTGAGAACACGAGTATGTTATAAACCATATAACTGTTTAAACAGAACTGGTTAGCAGTTTTCTGGAAAGAAACTAGGGTATTTGTAATGCTAGGAATTTTGTTATACATACATTTATAATGTGGAGTGTTGACTCTACTGAATCTAATCCCCCATGCTACTACAGTAAAGAGGATCTGTTAAGACATAGAGGATTATCGACGTGTAAATTACAGGATGAGTTTCACATGTTTCATGGACCAAATATGTTAGTTGAGCGTCTGTGTTAGGTCTAGGGGCGTGCGTGGAGATAAATGGAGAACAGGCAAGCGGGTATGATTTACTGAAAAACCCACATACACTGAAAAAGATAGATGGGCCCCTACGCCTCTGACTCATACTGACTAGACTACCACCAAATCTATTTCATACTGAAGATTGCTAATAAGCATGAATCAATATTGTACGTGGTTGGCAATCATATTCAGTTCAGCCTGTCTGTCTTCGTATTAAGACTGACTGACGAGTCGCCCTATTATTGACGATATGCGCCATCTAACTGTATAAAGTACAGTAAATGCCTTTCAGCATAAGCCAGAGGCGGCGTAGAGGTCTTTTTGTCATTTTCAGTCGTATGGGTGAAGCTGTATCAAGCTTTGGAGAACCATTTGTAAGTGGCGCTTGTCAGGGTTGTCACCTCTTTACACACACTATGCGTTGTTGCTGTTCCGACTACATTGAACATACTTTATGCCGGACTGAGCAAAGGCTGAACGGTCTCAATCTCTTACATAGATGGTGGATTGACTGTCTG